TGCTTTACCTGAAGAGAAAAATAATCCTTCAGTATAAATAACAGACATTTATTGTACTATTACAACACTGCTTTTACATAACACACCCCTGTTATGATCTAAAGCAACACACTTATATGGGTGATAAATAAAACTGTAAATGGTATCAACAGCAGGTCGTCCTCTTCTTCAATGTGCAATACACAACCCAGATAACATCTTGACTGTTATGGATGTAAAGAATCTTATTTATATGCCAGCAGGCTATTATAATGTTGATAAAGTCAATTTTGGTGTTCTTGTAAGAATGTGCTTTGGGGTCGAGCTACATTTTTGATCTCTTTCAAATATTATATTTCCTGGTGGTTTGTAGTACTGACATTGTCATTATATTTTTGCTTTTACAATGCTGTTTTAAAGAGAGCAAATGCAGTAAATAAATTAAATAAATGTAGTATTTATAGCCTGACAATAATCAATGTCTTTTTTTATGATGTGAGATAATAAGAGGACAAAGACAAAGCCTTTATTCTTTGAGGCAACTAAGCGAGGTGACTTAAGGTTGGATGTTTCATAACCTTATGCAAAGCCTGTTAATACATTTTTTAAATTTAATTTGGAGCAACTTCCACAAAACCCAATTCCCCCCCGGGATAAATAAAGTATTCTGACTCCCATTTGAAGTGGCATCTATTTCAGATAAGGGCTAATCATGAAAGGAGAACATTCTTATAGATAAATCTCATCACAAGCCAGTTATTACCCAGACTCCTGAGCTGGTTAATCCCACCATGGTTGGTTATTAGAACCTTTTCAGTCTGAGCTACTTCCATGATAATCACCAGTTTGTGAATTATAGTCACCTCTTCCTTTGTGAGACTTCTGTCTTCATCCAGGTCCATCATTTTGAAGGCCTCCATGCTGCGGGGCCCCCTGGATACAGAGTACACCTCCACCTCAAAGACCACCGTGGCATTGGGCGGCACCGGGTCTATTTGATCAGGAGGAGGAAACAGCACACGGATAATTAGGAAGCAGGAATGAAGCCATAATTATCACTCAGAATAACTGATCATCATTGAGTGGGATTGGGAATTTCAGGAAGAATGGGAGCCGGTGGTTCTGTACATTTTCAGACTTTGTGATGAATTTATCAGAAATCTTACCAACTAAATAAATGATAAATGGATAACATCGTATTGATTTGTTTCAAAGAGCTACAAAATGTAAAGACCCATAAGAGATGTGGCATTGACCCAGCAAGAGAGGAACATAATGTTACTAGAGCAACATGCAGTTAAAGCTGTTATTATTTAATAAGAAAAAGACAAGAACATGAAGCCCCCCCACAGCTGTTTTCAGCCTTGGATAGGTTTACATGTAATGCAGATTGGTGCAGAACCATTGAAAACAAACAAAAAAACTATTTTTTCCATAGCCAAAAAGTTAAATCAAGTGATAGTAGAATCTCAGAAAGCGGAACCAGATTAAACCAGAGGGCATTTATGAATACTAACATTTGTAGGAAATGAACTAGGTAAAACACTGATAAGCTGTTGTGATGCATGCAAGACAGAACGAGAGGAAGTAGAGACCTTTAAACCTTGGTGCATGCTTACAGTAACATGCCATGTGGGGATGAGTAGCAAACACTGAGAGGGATGTGATGCCCTTTCAACTAAAGAGCTGTAAAAAAGACAAGACAGAATGAAGGCAGCTCATCCAGCAAAAACATATAACCACAAAGATCCGTTTGAAGGACTGTGTTGGGGTTATATATTCATTTATTTATGAGTTAAAAATGTATTCTCTGTTTATTGTAAATGTACCTTTTTATTCATTGTAATTTAGGAGTAGTTGTTTTATTTTGAAAGTAGTTTTGGACACCTGGTGATTGTGTACTGTATATATTGGAGACAGGTGGTGGTGGGATAAGCACACCAGTATATGCACATGTTTTTTTTTACCAGGGTGAAACAAGCATGCCATAGGATAGCTACAGGACAATAAAGATGAAACCATGGTTTAATGTACTTTTTTACATCTTGCCTGGACTTGGATAATTTCCCCTGCTTTTTAACAATGTTTTAGTGGAAACAACAATATTTACATAGTGTTTTTTCTTTAAGCTTTATTCCTTTGTTCGGCAATGTATAGAGGATTTTGTACAGGTTCAACACCTAAACAAGAATATTGTCGTTGTAATTTTTGATTCAGTCATTATGGTGCCAACATTTTTGGTGTTGTCATTTTATTGCTTGAATATATTTATCTGTTAAAGGTGGGGTGGGTAATTTTGGAGAAACCAGCTCGAGTGCGCTAGAATTTGAAAATACACAACCGGAAAGAATCTGCCACTTCCTTACAGAGACCCTCCTCCAACACACACAAACGCGCACATGACCAATGAGGGCACGAGATAAGTTTGTGCATAGATGGAAGGCTGACAGGCAGGTAGGCCATCCAGTTACTTTAGCCGGGCCGGCTAAAATGATTAGTCGTGCTTTTTACAGAGCTACGGCTTCCACAGATGATATTTTTTTATAGATTTGTTGTCAAAGCACTTAAGATATTCATTGCTATCGGGATGTTAAGAGCATTCCATGGAATATAACAAAAAGTGTATCTCGAGCCGGTTTCTCAAACTTACTTATTATTTTCTTTGTAGTATCTTAATGGTACAACATACTGATATTGGTCTAGGTATTGTATTGAAGTTAGAAATTCCAGTATCATCACAACACTGTTATCTGGAAACACGTTGTTGTTGTTGGGAAGTGTTGTTAAGATTCTGAACTTTACTAGGGACTAAAAAACCCTGCATATGTACTGTATTTTGATTAAATCTACGGTTTAGCAGTGGTTAATATAAACCCTCTGCTGATCCTTGGTTTAATCACTGTGTGCTGCATTCACTCACCTTTGCCTTTCTCTCCAAAGGCCAGGCGGGGTGGGACAGTTATTTTTCGTTTCTCTCCAGGACACATATCTTCCATCCCTAGGTCCAGGCCCTTAATGACCTGTCCCACACCCAGGACGAACCACTGAGGGTGCCCGGTTTTGTCTGACCGACTAAAGGAGAAAGAGTACGAAAAGAAACAACATCCTGTCAATCAATCAGCCTTCACATCAATCCAATGTGCATGAACAGATCTGAACGCACATGAACATATTTTCATATCGGTTTGGGACCTGACCATGACATTTTTTGTTGCTGTAAATAAGTAAGATGAAGCCCCCTCCCTGCCCTAATATTTGTCATACTGTCCCAAACACTCCAGATGATGACTGCTTAAGGCCTTAAAGCAGGACTACACAATTAACAATGAAATAAATGGCATACAATTTTACAACACACATACAATAGATCTAGAATAGTGCATGCAATGTGAAACCTGTATGGAGTAATCACCACCCCCTTTTAGACAATTTGAAGCTACACAATGTATAATTATCTATAATACAGTAATAAGGTGCCTGTTGATGTGCATATTGACTTTCAAAGCATTCAATAGGCTTGTACAGACAATATCTATCAATTGTAAAGTTTTCCTCTAACCACCAACCTGCAGTAGAACTGAGAACCATCTTTGGCGAGGAAGCCATCGTAGTGGACGTTTATCAGATCCCCTCTTTTGCTCTTCTGAGTGCACTCCTCGGGTTTGTACACTACTTCTATCTTCACTTCTCCATCCAGCTCAGCTGCTGAGGCCCACACACACCATAGAGATAGCTGAGCAGAGACCAAGAGGCACAGTGTGCAGCTTACTAACCTCCACATCATGCCGCTGTCTGTGTATTCGTGGCAACTTGTGAAAGTGACGCTTGAACACAAAGTGGGACGTGGAGAACTGCTGCACACTTTATGGGAGTTTTTTGCCCTGAACTTTAACTGTCAGGGATTTCTGCTTCCTGGCTCGTTAAATCCCGCCTTATTCACTGTAACTACCCCAGGCCCAATGCCGGGACCACAGTCTGTATGGCCGGGCCCTCCTTTGGCTTTCGCTCATTGGAGAGGCTGGCTGGGGGAGTGGGGGAGTTACACCACCTGAGTGTAAACCTGCCTTAAAGACTGTACTGAGGGCCATAAAACACAAGCCTCTCAATATTATTCCCATACAGTAATATTATTGTTTAATGCAACAACAGATGAATAGTAATCACTATAGGAAGGACAATTAATAATTCCTTAACACTTACTTTTAACATTCAGTATTTGCCAATAGCTTTGCGATGATCAAATATCGTAACAATATTATGATAAAAAAGTAAAGGAAAAAAAGATTGTATTATAAAATATACAAATTGAACTGAGAAGACAATTTAATATCTGTGATCTGTCTGTTTCATAAAGTTATGTCTGATAGTATTTTCTATTTGAATACTTTCATCTGTGTATTTAATCTATACAATCTTACTTTGTACTTTGTTCTGTTGGCCCATTTGCCATTTATTTTTGCCATACTTATCTTACTCTGGATGCACTACAATTCAGCCCCCACAAATGGCAATTATCTGCCAATCTATAGAGGTGAGTCGACATGACACCATTGGACCACACAAGGGGTCCTCAGGTCACAGACAACAATAGGGGACATACCTGCATTAAATATGAAGTGCACATTATCTTAACTTTTAAGAAAGACTATAACTATTTTCTTCCAGCTACAACAGTCAGTGTGATATGTGCCCTCTCACCTAAGTAAAACAAGATGACAGAGTGAGCCACAGTGCTGTTTAACCTTAATATCTAAGGGGAATAAAATAAGAATCCTACCATGTGTTGCTTGAATAAGGGGAGCACATCAATAATTCCCTTAAACATTCCATGACGTTTATAATCAGAGTGAAATGTGCAAAGCGATTCAATCACCCTACTGTAAAAAAAAAAGAGAAATTGATAGACTCGAGGACACTCCAATAATGAGTGTCAAATCTTTATATCTCAGGGCGTAGACATCGTGTCATTTCAACCAATAGGAGCCGAGGGGGCGTGAACGTGTTCTTGTGTTTATTTTTGGACGCCGGTGTTTCTGAGTCATCGCCCCTCAGACAGTCAGCGAGCGTGGTTGGAGACATTTCTCAACGACTACTCGGTTGCTACCGGATATACATTAGGAACCACGACTTTGTCTGACAGGATTGAAATGTTACATTTTAGGTGTTCGACAGTGCTGAAGGAGTTCTTTGAAGTCACCCTCAAGCGTCCCCTGTCCGGCTCCAGACAGAAGAGCTGGTTACCAACCCGCTGCTCCTCCGTTGATGCTTCTCTTCGACTGAAGGTCCTCCATGCCGCTCCGCACCGCCCTGGGCTCCGCACCGCGCCCTGCGCCGCCCGGTTCCGCTCATACTGCACGAAAACCGAAGGTGCCGTTGAGCCGGACGAACAGCTAAAGAAGGATGGTGTCAGCAGAGAAGCATCCATTGACAAGTAGGTTATAAGTACTTCTTTGCTGAATAAACTGTATGACACCATGGTAGCTTTTCATGACGCAGAAAGGCTCGAGCGGATGTTAACGCTAAGTCACAAACGCTGTATTAAAAACCATTTGATTAGCGCCCAAAAACGTGCTTACTAAAATCTAAGATATAGACGTTGAGCTCATACAAAGCAAGACAAACACAAACTTCACACATCTATCGGCCTCACATCAGCAGCTTTCGAGCCATGTGAGACTTGAATGTCGGGGCTTGTCTTTAACGTTGGGTTTGTTATCTGTCCCTGTGAAGTAACACGATGCACTGTGCGGCAGGTTTTGAAAGTGAAACAGCATTAGCTCCGTTACAGTCAGAGATGAAGTGGGGGATAAGAAAATCCACATTCTAGTACATTCTTGAAAACACACATGTGTACACTGTATTCAACAATACAACAACGACCTTCACATGTAAACCATGACCTTAAAATTACATTTATTGCGTCTCAACCCCTCTTAAGAATATACATTTACTTTGCTTTGTTTACTGTTTATAATGACTGCTGGCTGTGTGTGTGAACCGGTTTGGTAGCTTCTTGTTGTTTATGCTGTGAACTCCTACTGTCAGTCAAGTGGCAGCTGGCGGGCTCCAAACTGACGGTATCTGCATCATTCTGTACTGAACAGCATGACTGTGGGTTGTTTGAAAGTGGAACAGTTGAGTGGCTCTAACTTCTTCATGTGACAGTAATGCATACGAAAACATATTAATACATGTAATGTTAACATTTCTCAATTCTAAGTTGTTTCCATGTAGCAAATTGCATGCAAACCATTTGTGCATATTTGCAGTTCTTATCATTCCCTGACATATTTTGTTATTGTTATTGTCTGGAGAAGTACTGTAGGCATACTTCCTAAGCCCTCTTGCTTTGTAAGTCACTACCCTGTGTCCAAACTGTACTCTTTTCCTAGTCTTTGTGGTCATGTCTCAATATTAATCAGTTATTTTTGTCCTAACTGCATTTGCCCTTTGTATTTACAGATTAACAGTCAAGTAGAAGGATCAAGATAATTATTAAGCTCAAAGCTATTTCTATGGAATAAACAATGACAACTATTACAAAATAAGAAGTCATATTATAATCAAAGACCAATTCCAAAATAAACAATATAAAAACATTTATAAATATACAACAGAAATTCTGGCTCCTCCTATAAAAAAGCGAAATCTATATCAAGGTGAATTCTTGTCATTGTGTATTAGTTTGGCAAAGCTCTTCATTCAGATTTAATAGTGTCATTTTTTATCCAATTCTGTTTTGTTAACATTTTTGGAATATAGAATTTATTGTCAGTATACAAGTACAACGAGAAGAGTAAAGCTACTCATTTTATGGTGCCATCAAAACATTCATAATAGACAACATACAACAAAGACACGCAGCATTCCTACATACATAAAATAAAGAGCAGGAAATAATCAAATTAGTATAGCATAATACATTATGTTTGTATAATATTGCACATATATGTGTTATTGCACAGGGAGGAAGACTAAGCGTTAATAGTGCAAGAGTTCAATGCCATGATTGCTCTGGGGACGTAACTGTCTTTGAGTCTGTTTGTTAGTCTGTTTTTTAAATTGCCACAAATTGCCACATTGTTCAATAATCCATATTCCCAGTATCTAGGGAACTGAAGCCATTAAGAATTAGCTTGATAACTGTAAAATACAGCAGAAACCCAAGGGAGAAGCCTAGGTTTCATATTACAGCTTTGTAAGTTCAGTAGAAAAATTAAATGGCCAGGGTAAGAAAGTTAGTGTCATTACATCAGTGTTTCTCAAACTTTTTCATTCCAAGGACCACTTAACCAATACAAAAACACTCGCGGACCACCTAACTCCACAAATATCAAAAAACACATCGTTTTTCTAGAACAGATTACAAATCGCCTGAAAATGCTACAAACAAGTGGCAACATGTGTGATGACGGTGCTGCGCTGGGCTATATCATGCAATCGAAAGTGAAACTTAACCTCGCTCCATTGCGGAGATATTCCCGCGAGAGTGCGGAAAACTGAAATGTATTTATTTATTTCAAATGTGAAATGTTACCAATAGACTCACGGACCACTAGGGGGCGCTCACGGACCACCAGTGGTCCGCGGACCACACTTTGAGAAGCACTGCCTTACATGAAACCGAATTGAGGCATCTGAATCTGCACATGTTCAGATGCTCAGGACGTCGTGTCCTTGGTAACTGACCCGATATTTTAGTCTTTGATTCATATTTTTGTGGTTATCAGCAGCACAAAAAGGCTTGTGGATGCACGTGATGGTGACCCCGTGTGGATTACACATTAATGATGATGACTCACAAGATAAACTTCTGAAAGAAAAAGCTAGTCATGACTCACATTCCATTCAGTGCATTGAGAAACAATCCCAGCTCTGTGATTTCTCTATTTTCAAATGGAACAAAATGAGAACTGAGCTTTAGGCTAGCAGTAAATGAATGAGGAACAGTCAAACCATTGAAGCTGTTGTCTGGTATAACTGACACTGCTACTTGTTATTACCTTATTAAGGCCTTGTGTTGTACAGTAACCGCGTCCTTGGCTCACTGCCAATTCTCTGATTATTTATGGGATTGGTTACAGTTTAAGTGGGTGGATGTGGATAGGATTAAAAGATATCAAAAATGACAAATGACTGATGTGAAACACAAACAGAAACTGAAAGACATACAGTATTTGGCACTGCTTATGGAAACGTGTTGGGTCACTGATATGACCCTGCTTAGGATATGTTCTCCAGTCAGAAAATTGAATTTTACAGCCAGATTTATATGCATCTTTAACATTGAGTTCAGGACATCTCCATTTCACATTTTCCGATCACATACATTTTCCTAAAAAAACAACAACTACTGTTCAGGATTTATATCTAGTGGCGAATGACCCTCATCCGGACAACTGATCTGTATATCTTCAGGAATTAAGGCCCCGGCCACACGAGGACGATAACGGTTAAAACGCATATGCAAACGCAATCGCAATCGCAAAAAAGGCTTCCGTCCACACGCAATAGACACCGGAAAGTTTCTGTCCACACGAGACAGCTCCATTTAGCTCCAACCGCTGGAGAAGCTGCAGTATATATGCCGAGCCTGTACGTGGCGCTGTAACTTCCTCCACAAAAGCAGCGAAGAAGCATGGTTGTCATGGTTGCCCTTCTGTTTATTCTCCGCGGTGGGGGCCGAGGGAACCGGGCAGAGTTTTTTGCCAGTCAACGTGTATTAAAGTTGAAATCTTCCGATAAAATTATAAAAGTGCCGGTCAAAGGTCTTCTTTGTTATTTATTGAGCTTTAAAACAAATTTAATAACGAATCTATATAATATAATAATAATAATAATAATAATAAAATACACTGAGCCTCTCTTTTTCCTCCCTCTCTTTTGACAGCATAAGTGTCTGTTTCATGCAGCAGCTGATCCAGTAATGCTTGACCCGGCCGACAGTAAAAATAAAGTTTAGGTAGTTTGAGAGGTAATTAAAATAGCTACGGTGATGATCTGACTTGGTGTGTGTTTTGCTCCGTTCACCGCCGCATCACAGCGAGAGGAGCTGCAGGTGAGCAGAGCTGCGTGTCTCCGTCCTGTTAGATTAGACTTCACTCGCGTTTAGGTCCATATCGAGAGAAAGATAAATAATCTGAATTCAGTGTGCAGTTTACTTTGACGCGGGGGTGAGCAGCAGAGGTGGGGAGAGGCGGGGCTATTGCCTCATCATTATCAGAAAATTATCGTATAGGGCGTACACACCGAGCCGTTTGACCCCCCAGAGCGTTGCGTATGCCGTTCTATCCACCTTGGGACCCGTTATCGTTACCGTAGTCGTTTAGTGCCGTATTCTGTCGTCCTAGTGTGGCCGAATGGTCTATATGACACAAAACGGTAACGGAAACGACCGTTATCGTCCTCGTGTGGCCGGGGCCTAAGACTCTAATATCTAATATTGTAAGTCAGTGCTGTTAATTGAATTATGGAATTGTGTTTAACCAAACTAAAACGCCTTCTGAGCATAAAGACTCTTCAAAATCACAACGTAATCTTTACGTGGTATCCAGGAAACTGTGAAAGTGTCCTGCTTAGACCAATGAGCAGTCATCCAGATGCAAATGTCCTGAGCCATCTGCCTGTGAAGAGGAAGAGGATTACCAATATAGAGAAACTGGTTGTTTTTATACCTGATTGTGTTTGAGCAGTTCAAACAGCCTTTGGCTTTGAACATGTAGTTCAGTTCATGTCGGCTAACAAACACACGCTCCATGTGATATGAAAACGTGCTCCCTCTTGTTGAAGTAAGCTGTCAGTCACTATTTATGGCATTTTTAGAAACATTTTTCATGCTGGCTTGTCGTTCTGTTTCATATTAGATTCTCTGCTTGGCTAAATAACAGAGCTAACATTAGCAAAGCTGGAGTGAGGGTCCATTGAGATACATTATGATGCATTCAAGCTCTAGGCATAAACATGTTGTTTGCACAAGATCTAATGACAGCAATAAAATAGATATTAGAAAGGTGAATTTGAGGGGAAAAAAACATGATGCAAATTGTACTAAAGAAGTGTATGTCAACCAGGCTTGGAATTTCGTCATTTTAGGGGCAAGGCCATTTGGCCTTCCCGTTCACATTTTTTTCAAGGGCACAAAGGCCACATGACAGGGCACAAAGGCCGTTTGGTTAAATTACGCTGGTCAATCAACATGACTGACTGAAAAGTGTAGCACTAACGTCAACACCAGTCGTTTTACAAATGGCTGAATAGCAAGTGTTTCTTTAACGTATACGTTAAGTTCAGCCATAAACCACATAAGTCAGTCATGTATTATATCAAAACCGCTTAGCAAGAAAAATACTAGATTCAAAGGTGACAGCTATCTGCTAGCTTGTAGAAGCAACACTAGATGTAGACCCCTTGAAGGGAAGACGTTAGCGCTAT